TAGTAATAATCATAATAAATAGTAGTAGTAATAATAGTAATAATAATAATAATAATAATAATAATAATAATAATAATAATAATAATATAATCATAATAAATAGTAGTAATAATAATAATAATCGTAATAAATAATAGTAATAATAATAAATAGTAGTAGTAATAATAATAATCGTAATAAATAGTAGTAGTAATAATAATAATCGTAATAAATAGTAGTAATAATAATAATAATCGTAATAAATAGTAGTAGTAATAATAATAGTAATAATAATAGTAATAATAATAATAATGTAATTAATAATAATAATAATAATAATGTAGAAAATTGTTAAAAGTCTAATTGTTGTACGAGTCACAAGACTAACTTTCATATGCATAAAATGCACTTTGTCATATAAAATGGAAATACTGTAAGTCAGAAAAATTCATTTAGATTTACAATTAAAATGGCTTCGAGAGTGCAAAGGGTTAATATCGAGCAACGTGTTCGAACCGTGTCTCGTTTCGGAACGGTAACATTTTGATCGAGATTTTGCGCCACGAAGGAAACAGTCACTCCGAAGCGATCCATTTAGACAAGAGAAAATAATTCTCGCTTAAGTAACGAAAAAGGGGCTGTGGGGGAGAGAGGGCAGGAACAATGGGCGAATTTGTCTATCTCCCGATCGGAGGCTCTATAATGAAGGAATTATCGTTCCGCCGGGATCGGGGCGGCGTTTGCATAATTAAATGCCCGCCGGATTACGCGCGTATTGGGGGAAAATGATGCATCAAAAGTACCTTAACGGGATTATCCGCGCGACGAGTGTAGTAGCGCTTGTTCACGCGCGCCACGGGGAAAATTCGACGGAATAGTTCGCCGGTAATTAGTTTTCCTTTCGCAGGAACGCGTTTACGTAACTGCGGCAGAGATTGTGTGCGCCTGTCGACGTTCGACGGTTGTCATACGAGCCGCCATTACGAACGGCCGCCCCCGATGGATCGCGCGAACTTCTTACGAGATCCCGGGTTCGCGGTATCCGACGTTCATTACATCATCAAATTCAATTATTATATCGCATTAGGCGTCTTAGAACCTGCTTCGTTCACGCAGAAATAACGATCCGCTGACGTGCGCGGGTGGTAATCGGTTTGTTGTTGGCTGTGCGCCTTCGGAGTTTATACGCAGATCGACGCAGATCCGCGGTGGTCTTGAAGCCGGTAATTTATGGCAGAAATTCGATTTTTGGATTTTCGTGTTATTAGAAAATTTGTTTTCCTCGAAAAAGGGCTATTTTCGAAGTCTCGGGACCCGAAATATTAGATCTTTCGGATTTGAGGCGTATAATTTAATATAATAAGTCTTAATATAATATATATTAATTAATTAATATTGTATTATATATATATATTATTGTATATAATATCATTATATTATATTTATATGTATATAATATATACACTATATTTATATAATATTATTATATTATATTTATGTAATATTATTATATTATATTTATCTATACTATATACTGTATTTTTATAATATTATTATATTATATTTATATATAATATATATACTATATTTATGTAATATTATTATATTATATTTATCTATACTATATACTGTATTTTTATAATATTATTATATTATATTTATATATAATATATATACTATATTTATGTAATATTGTTATATTATATTTATATGTATATAATATATACACTATACTTACACAATATTATTATATCATATATAATATTATATATATCATATACAATAATAAAATAATATTACATATCATTTAATAGAATTTCGCAACGTGTTGTTATTGAACTGCGAATCTTCACGGAAAATACAAAATTTCGATTGTCTACGCCGGTAAAATCAGAGAAGAAATTTTTCTGTACCTTTTTTCACTCGCTCTAGCTACGTCAACAAAATCTTGGCGGTCTCTGGTTCGGAGGTAGTCGCAGCTGCAACAAAGAATACGAATTATATTATCATATTACATATCGTCGCGATCGCAACATAAATTTGTTTAAGTTTACTAAAACTATTCGGTGCAAAAATCGGTCACAAAAATTTAATTCACCACGAAATTCAGCGAGACATTATTCGAGATATTTCCCGTACGGAATGCGCAACATCTGCTTCCCAAACATGCGTTCGCATAATATTTCACATGCTAGTATTCTCCCCTCCCCCGCCCTCCCCCCGGGCTTCTATAAAACCGCAGCGGGAGGACCGTAATTTCGTAAGAAAATCTCGGCTGTTCCGTAGACCGGCGATCGCGAGTTTCTTCGGGAGGCCACGACGAGCGGGGACATTGAAATCCCGCTTTTTAAGGAGCATCCGCGCGAGCGCGATTAATTGGAATGCCGGCCACGTGCTCGATCGCGAGCCTTGCGCCGCTCTATCCGGGACACTAAAGGCTGGACTTTGCAAGCAAACGTTTCGCTACTTCTAAATATAAATCTCGTTCCTTGAACGAGACGGACAGAGAGACAGAGAGATCCGCTTAGGTTCGGCCGTTGTACACACCCCTGCAAAAGTATCGGGACACCTGCTGATTTCGTGTAAATTGCAATTTTTTGGTCGGTTTAGGTGATATTTNTAAATTGCAATTTCTCGGTCGGTTTAGGTGATATTTCACGTTTAGTATTACGGTTTATGGCATCGTATTATGCGATTATGTCAGCCATTCATTGCGTTTCGTTCATTTTCTGCGACATGTTTCCGAAATATACTATAAGTATATACATTATACAGTTATAATATACTGAATAAATAAATATGAAAATATAAAAATATAAAATAATAAAATATAAGAAATATGAAAATATAAAAATATAAAAACTAAAAAAATATGCTATGCACTATAATACATATATATATATATATATATATATATATATATATATATATATATATATATATNATATATATATATATATATATATATATATATATATATATATATATATATATATATATATATATATATATGTATAGTATAGTATATATATATATATGTGTGTACATATCTCTATAATGGAACCAAATGGGATTAGAAATGGTGGACGAACCGATAAAACGAAGGCCGAAGTTGGTCTAAGAAATGATAAAAAAACGCATGATTATATAACGTAAAATAATGTATAGATATATGTATAATACTTGTTATAACTTCGTACAATCCGCTTCGAAATAAATTGAAGACATCACAGCAATTTCCCATCTGTTTCTCAAATTCGCTCAATTCTTTGCGATCATGCTAATACTTTTGGAGGAGAGTGTATTCGGCACAATTACACGCGGATTACTGAAATCTCTTCATTAACCACGGAGAACGGGCCATTCTCGCGGTTAATGCGAGCCAGATGGAACGAGTCCGCGCGGCTTCGCGCATTTTTTTTCTTTTTTTAAACGCGAATCCCCTGTTACGCAACTCCCGTTGCACGACCCGTTGATAGAAATTCGTTTTTTTTTTTAAAGACCCGGGAAACTTTGAATTTTTACGACAACCCCGAAGCTGGAGCTAATCCGCTTCGCCGGAGAACCGTCGTTAATTCGCGCGATTCATTGCTGGCTGCGATAATACGCAGCCTTTCTTTAATCTTTCGCTGGTGTTATCTTATATCTGTAATATCACGTTGAATGGAAACGACGTGTGCGACCGGAAGCTCGAGTTCTATAAAGAGACTGATTCATGGGGCGATCTTTAATAGCAGTATATTAGCGTTTCATACGGTCTACGGTCTTGTACATTTTCTAATTAATTCAGACGAGGTTCGCTCGAAGTCTAGTTTTCTCGACGAAATCCTTCGGTTCCGGATTACAGTAATGTCTCCCTTACTGACGCTCATATTGTCCACTAAATTGGATAACTTGGGAAGAGGAGACACGATTATTCGAGCCTCGAAGCTCGTTTTTATAGTTGTTGACAATCGATAACCATAAAAGACGAGTCACAAGGCTCGAACAATCGTATCTCCTCTTCCAAAATTGTCTACTTTTGTGCGCAATCCGATCGTCAATTAGGGAGACATTACTGTACTCGGAAGCGAGATATCGAGATCTAACAGAGGACAACTTCGAGCGACGATAACTCCGCGAAAAATCACCTCGGGACGATGACTCTTTTTTTAAATTAAAGCTCGAAACCTCTACTTTCGGATAGTGTATCTGTATTTTAAGTTCCACGCAACCTCGCCACTGTAACCCTTTAAATGCGAGGCCATGTTCGTCGTACGTCATACGTCGTATCGTCGAGTTCGACGAATCGCACGGACTTTGGACCATTTTTCTCCGAGATGCCGTTCGCGGCAGAACGAAGTTCGATCTTTCCCCTTTAATTGAAAAAAAAAGAAACTCGGCTGCGATTTTTTCTCGCAAAGTTACAGCAGTTTATAG